TTGTACTATATTATATAGAAGATAAACAAAAATGTACATCTACTATATATTATACATTATATACATACATACATATATAGAAAAGTCTGTGAGATACCAAATTTTGATAGATAAATAACATAAATCATAAATATATAATATATATATGTCTTATATTTTTATATAAGACATACTTAAAAAGGATGCGCAATATCTAAAGAAATGTATCTCTAAATTTTATGTTTTGCTTTATATAGATTTACGAAAAAAACAATCTATTATTATTATATAATTATTACGATTATTATAATTATAGTTATTACTACTACTACTACTACTACTATTATTATTATTATTAATATTATTATTATTGTTATTAATATTATTATTATTATTATTATTATTATTAATATTATTAATATTATTATTATTATTATTAGACTATTAATTACGTCTTTACTGTTCTGCTGTGATGATTAGTCAGTATGACGTATTTAAATTGTCTCTTAAAAAAACTTCAACAAGCTGTTCAAATGATTGTAAGTGAGAGTTCGCTATTGCGGGGATTCTCAAAGTGAATCGAACAAAATTCATGAAACGTGATTGAAAAATTTATAAAAAGTAGAAAATTAAGATATTAAAGCATTTTGCATTTGAATATTGAAAGATCTTTATTGGAAAACGATCTTATGAGATTAATTCGAGCAGCTTTTTAATTCTCCATAAAATGTTTTTATATAGAAATAAGATTATAGAATTAAATAATATAAATTTGACTGATAAATTATGAAGGTTTTTACCTTATATTGTACAATTAAAAAAAAAAAAAATAAAGAAAATCATAAAAGTGCAATTACAATGCTATAGTAAAGAGTATTTTTAAGATTGAGAAAAATATAGAAAAAAAAAAACAAAATGAATATCGAATGAAAGTGCAAAATGCTTACTCGAAATATTATATATATATAAATTCATATTGATAGTTTTTTGTAGAAATTCTTTGTATCCATATCTTAATAAAAAAAGAAGATTAGATGAATAATAAAAATTTATAATTTGAAAAAACACAAAAAAAAAAAATAAAATTTGAATAAATATTAAAAACTAATATCAAATATGGTGCTAAATGCAGGAAGTTTGAGAAACCCTGCTTTATCGAATTATGTTCAAAATATTCTTTTTAAGTTCTATAATATTATTTTTGAGTCAATAATTTTTTATCGATCATATGAATAAGATAGGAATATCAATTAAATGTTCTCATAATTTTCTTGTAATTATTATAATTATAAATAAGTTTTCAAACTATGGAATCAAAATCGAACAAATACAATTTTATAATGCAACAAGAACAATTTGCAATAACTAGATTTTACTGACATAAAAATCATTATATATAACCAAATTTCTCCTGGATATTTTTTTCATAAATAGAAATTAAATTTAAGTGAACGCAATAAGATCTTGCATTTTTATATATACATATATTAATAGAGAATATAAGAAGCACATGTTACTATTATTATTCTTAGAGACATTAAATAGTAATGTTTTATAATTTATATATATTTACATCTATACGTATAATATAAATAGGTAAAACTGTATATAGAGATAATTAAAGTTTTTTACATTCTATTTACGATATATGTATATATATAATATATGTTATATATATTTACACATATATTACAAAATAATGCTTGTGTACGTCGCATACCGAATGAACATTTTTATCTATTGCGTGATAAATAGGTCACGCGAGAAATTATGTACTTATTCCAATTGTTAAATATTGATTAAAATATTGTATATAAAATTCATACAATTTGTCTTGAATTTTTCAATTAAATTTACACAACAAATGAATCTTATAATTTTTTGATATTAATAGTTTATTTACTGACATTAAGATACTTAATAATTCAAAATTTTATATAGAAACAAGTTACTTATCCATTTTTGTATGCTATTATTTTCAAATATATAATCTAATATTTATATAATAAATACTTGCATTTATTCTAATTTTTCATATTTAAACAAAAATTTGATGCATAAAAAATTATCTTTTATAATATATAAATATGTATACAATATTTTGATAATTGAAAAAATTACAATATTTTGATAATTGAAAAAAAATTAAATATAAATTATTAATTATTCATTAATTTTAATTAAAAAAATTCTATATAATTCTTCTATATAATTCTAACACCATTCACATGTTTTTTACAGAAATGTCACGTGTTGACGGCGTGAGAATAGTCGTCATATTTTTATTCTTTTGAAATGAGATGCACAAGTTTCTTTAATGTGATTATTTTTCAGTTCATATTTCTTCAACTAGTTATTTTATTAAAAATAAATTTAAATAGTAAGTAAAAATAAATTTTTATTATTAATTTTATCAAAAAATTGTGTCAAAAAATATTTATTAATCATAATTAGTATTAAAATAATGAAATAAAATAGCAACGCAAAATAATTTAAATTAGTATCAATTTTTTTATATGAAAATAAATTTGAAATTGTTATCTTATGATAGCGTTGAAAATATAAAAAAAAATATGAGATGATGTTTCTTCATATGAGATCAATTGGTAGTACTGTTCACGACGTGAAACAAGTGTATTTTTTTCGTCGTATGTTATATGATAAAAATAGTATTCTAAATATTTGGTATTTCTTTGGTAGACAAAATTTAATAATGATAAAGTTCACTCGACCGCGATTAATAACATTTGATGTTACTGATACATTGCTGATGACAAACTTGGAGAAACATTATGCCGAAATTGGTTCTCAACACGGCCTGTCAATTGATCCACATAAATTGGCGCGAAGCTTCAAAAACAACTTTCGTAAACTTAGTCTAGAACATCCTGTTTATGGTAAACATACAGGCATTGGATGGAAAAATTGGTGGAGACAAATAGTTCATAATATTTTCAAAGAGCAACACAATTATATTTCGGATGCTACTTTGGATAAGGTGATAAAAATTATCACGATGTCGAAAATTTAGTATTTATAATGAAATGATTAAAATAAAATTTGATGTCATTTTTATTTAACAAAAAATTATTTCTATATAGATTTTTATATAAAACATGTATCAATATAAATTAAAGGTATGATTTATCAAAAATAAGATTAATATTTTTAGATAAATTAAACTTAACAATTGTTTTAATTTAATTTTTAAAGTGAGTATAAATTATCTATATTTTATCATTACATATTATTTTTTATTTTATACCAATTTTATATTTACGATAATTTAAATTTTTATTTTAACCAATTTTATTTTGGAATTTTTATGTTGATATAAAAAAGATATAAAAATTATAAAATACAGGAAGTACTATTAGAAAAAGAAAAATAATTACCGAAAAAAATCTAACCTAAACTCATACCTACTGTCGATGACCTTTTTTATCATTATGACCCGTAGGTTGCTAACAGTTTGATAAAGTGCTATGGTACGAGCTTATGTTGGCATAAATATCCTGGCACAATCGAATTATTGGAATATCTTCGAGAAAAGGACTTGATTTTGGGTGTAATATCAAATTTCGATGAGAGATTGGAAGCGGTACTTGAAGACACGAGGATTCGTTTTTATTTTTCTTTCGTTTTAACATCTTATGATTTCGGTATTGAGAAACCAGATACTTTAATATTTAATGAAGCTCTTAGGTTAACAAAAGAACGACATAATATCAATATAATTCCCCAACAAGCGATACACATTGGTGATTCTATTAGTAACGATTATATCGGAGCGAAAAATGCTAACTGGAATGCTATCCTTGTTCAACATAATAATAATGTTATAGATGAAAAAAAAGTCCCTACGAAGGATGTGTTTAGAAATCTTCGAGATTTAAAAGTACATCTTTCCACACTTTTAGATAGAGATATGTAATGTACATAATATAGTCAAATGAAAATTGAAAATATAGTATTTTATAAATCATCATAAGATTCATATTTTAACAAAAAATAAATTTATAGGTAAGATTTGTCATAACAAAAAAAACAGGAAAGATTATAAATATTTCTGATTTGTTTATTTAACAATGAAATTAAATACCGATTATATAATACTCTATGTTATATTTTATTGAAATTAATAAAATTATAAATATATTTTATTAAATTAAAATTAAAACATTTAATATTGTTGTATATATAAATAATAAGATAACGGAAAAATATATCATAATGTTTATAACATATTCTTTATATAATATGTATTTAAATTGTATTTATAATAAAAATATAAATGTATAATAACAATTTTTGACAAATATATCTACAATAACTAATATTATATATATATTTTTAAATATTAATAATAACTTATATACTTGTTGAATTGATGTAAAATATAATTTTATATAAATTTTATATAAAATAATGAATTTTATAATAATGTGATACTGTTACAATTTTATAGTAAACATAAGATAATTTTAAAAATATATTTTAAAATTATTTATATTTTTATATAATACTCTATATTTCATTCATCTTTGTATTTTATTTATTTTAACATATTTTATTTAAAATTAGATAAAAATATGAAGTGAGAATATTTGAAGTATTTTATTGTATTGTTGATAATGATAGGAAGAAGTCATCGTTTTCTAATCTTTTCACTTCCGTTCTAGCAAGATATTACTGATCATGAATTCTATTAAAATAATATAATTCTAAAATAATATTTCAATTCTCAATTCGCGAAAATAAAACTCTATTAAATAAATAATGCTTAATTTAAGATTTTTAATTATTTCAAGATTTTTTTATTGTGTTATTTATTTATTGTGTTCATAAATATATCAAGAAAATATTTTTCAATTTTTAAAATATTTTTTCTTTTAAAATTAAAATTTAAAAACATAATTATATATATTTATACACATTATTGCTAGTAATGAAATATAAAATATAACAATTTCATCGTTACATTTCTTTTAGCCTACACTTCCTACGGCATATTACCACTACAAATATTCGACATATACGATTCTTTCACTCATATCTACGACAACGATACGATGCGATATAACTCTCGTTCAGTATCCCGCTAAACTGTTGCAAGGAAAGAAGCTTTCTTGTGATTTACCAATCTTCTATCAGTTGAAGAGGTTAGAATGAAAATTTATTGTTCATTTTAAAAATTCGTGATACTAATGTGAATTTTTTTATTGAAAAAGAAGTGAATTAGCGATCAATTTGTGTTTCGTGTAATTTTGTGAATATTAATTATTCAAATCTTTATTTTAATAAGAAATAAAAGATTATTTTTTTTGGTTACAAAATTTCTTCTTTAAATTGACATTGTTTATTTTTTAAATTATAACTTATAAATATTTATTGAAATTGCGGTTCGTGATTTATATGTTGAAATATGTGATCAGAAGAAATATGTATATTTATTCTTCAAAATTTTGAAAATTTTAAATAACAAAAAATAGATTTTAAAAAAGAAACAATATTAAATATAAAATAATTTATTAGAATATATATTAATTAATATTTAATTATTTTATTTTAACAAATGTTACTAATTCATTGCAGAATTTTAATTTGAATTAAAAATTATTTTATAAGATCAGTGAAAAATATATGTAGAAATATATAAATTTTACAATAAACATTTTTATTTTATATAGTAATATATTTTATGTATATATATGATTTTATTTTAAATTATAAATTTGTGGTTTTTATATTTAAATTATAATTTTCATAATTTTTCATTGTGAAATGACATAAATTTGAAAACAGAATTATATTCGATTTTTCTAAGTTTTTGTATGTAATTAATATTTTCATTTTAATTTTTATAAAAATTACATGTATATATTTTCTTATGTGTTAAATTTAGTAAATTTAGTATAGAGAAACAAAAAATTAATACTAAAATTAATAAATATTAGATATGAAGGCCAGGAGAACGGAAGATTCCGAAATGCAATCGCGACAGTAAAAATAAAAATTATTGTGGGAACTTTTCTTGTCAATGAACTCAGTCGAAAATTAGTGTATATTCTGACCTTTAAAAAATTCAAAAAAAGTTTGAAAGTTTTCATTTAAAATTATTAAAAAAATTATAAAAAAGAACTCATCTAAAGAAGTTCAAATATGAATAGAGGAAGACACAAGAAAATATTAATTTTAATTGCAATCTGCTTGGTAGCAGTATTTGCGGAACCTGATCCTTTAGACGAACTTTTTTATAGTCGATTTTCAAAAAATCGTGATGAAGATAAATGCTATGATGACAATGGAAGACCACAGGTTCGTAATTTTATTTATTATATTTATATAAATTATTATATTATATAAGTATTAAAACAATTTATTTTATTTTTCTTTCTTTATTTATTCTTTTTTTCTTTCTTTATTATATTTAATTATCAAATAATTATTTTTTATTAATTTAATAATAATAATTTGATTAATTATTTTTACTTTTTTGAAAAAAATATAAATTACCTTTCACAATTATATTATTTTATAAAAATTAGTATTATTTTATAAAAATATAAATATAAATATAATAAACATAAACAGACTTTTAATTATTTTCTTTCTTAATTATTTAAATTTTAATTTTTTTTTGAAGATGTTATTACATTAGGTTATCATTTTAAAGATTCGAAATTACATCAATTTTCGACGATAATTATATAATAAATATAATTAAATAACCGCTTTGACTATTAAAGAATTTCAAAAATCTTTAATAAAATTCCAATTTTTATTTTTCTAATTTTCTAATCTATTTTCTTAATTCTTTAATTTTTTTATTTAAAATTTTTTAATTTTAATTTTTAAAAAATTCGAAATTTAGGTAAAATTTTTTCGTTCGGATATTATAAGAATTTTATAGGAAATATGTTATAAACTATTCGAAACTGAAATGATCTGAAAATATTATCTTGGCCGATCCTATATTATTTTTGTCTATCATTTTACTAGCATTTAATATAAATATGTTATGTTTATGTTTAATTTAAAATATTTAAATTTTAATTTAAAAAAAAAGAAAATGAAAAAAATATACATAGTGAAAAAAAGTAATTATTGATATAATTTCTGAACATTACGAAATAAAAAATATTTTAAATTTTGTAATGAAAATTTATTAAAAAAAATTTATTATTAAAAAATTCTATCAAATATTATTTTGAACACGTGTTATAGAGGTGTATACCACCTTTTGAAAATGCAGCATTTAATGTTCTTATGGAGGCAACAAATACATGTGGCCAAGATCGACAAACAGAATTTTGTAAACAAACTGGTGTCCAAAGAAAGTCCTGCGAAATTTGTCGATATGGAGATCATTTAGCTTCATTTCTTACCGATTATGATAATAATGACAATGCAACTTGGTGGCAATCAGAAACAATGTATGAGGGAATTCAATATCCGAATCAAGTTAATCTCACATTACCATTGGGTATGATATAAAAATGTTATATATTTTATATTTTGTTTGAATTCAAATATGGCTGTATTCATATTAATTGAGATAATTTTTCGTAGAATTGAAATAGATAATGTTTATGAAATTTATATTATAAATAGAAAAAGAAAATTCATTCATCAGTGCATTTCACGGTATAAATTTAATATTTTCTCGATATTTTTCGTTTTCTTCTTCATTTCTATTCTTTCATTTTATATTGTTATCTATCAGGATGTATATGCGATGAGATAATTCTCGATGATAACTGTAAATGCGGAACTATAAACTGATGGAAAAACTATACAGTTATTTACAAAAGTTTTATATATTTCAGGAAAATAATATTTTTATTCAAATAAATTATATAATAAAATCATATATAATGATATATTTATTATTTAACATAAAATAATAATAAAACAACTATTTATCTTTTTCGAAGAATGCATTAATGAATATAAAAAATGTTATAGAATTCTATTTTATTATTAATAAAAGTAATCTTTTTATACAAATAAAATTAATAATTGTGATTAATGATAAAATAATTTTATCTTCTACATGTAATGAAGCTAATTCTAATATCATTCCGAAAACTCAGATAATAGTAGAAGGTTCTTAAAAATGAGAAAAACATAGAATCTCTGCCACATGTACCACATGTTCATTTAGAAAGAAAGCCACTTGCATCCCGCTAGGGAAGAATTACAATGGCGTAGAATCTTTATTTTTTAATAATTTCAAATCATAATTTATAATAAATAATTTTTTTTTTAAACATTTTTTATATCTATTTATATCATAAAAATTTTGTTATCTTTATATTACATATATCAATTTTTATTAAATTGATAATTTATATTTTTTTACTATCTTTTTTTTTTACATATATACACATGCTTTCTAATAATTATTAATTATAGGCAAGACGTTCGATATAACATATGTTAGAGTGCTTTTTGAGTCTCCACGTCCAGAAAGTTGGGGTATCTATAAGAGAAAAAATGAAAATTCGCCATGGGAACCTTATCAATTTTATTCTGCGAGTTGTAGAGATATGTATGATTTACCGGATTCAAAGGAAACAGTACGAGGTGATGATACCAGAGTATTATGTACTTCTATCTATTCCGATATATCACCTTTAACGAAAGGTGCTGTCGCATATTCTACTTTAGAAGGACGACCTTCGGCATATAATTTTGAATCTAACACAGCATTGCAGGTACAATTTTTATTTTATCAATTCATTTTTCATTTTTTTATTTCATCAATAATAATTTTTTTTTTTTTTACAAAAATTATTATTGAATGTAGAAAACAAATTACAAATAACATATTAAAAATAGAATAAAAACAATAATATGAAATTAAAGTAACAAAATTATTTAATATAATAAAAAAATATATAATGATATAATATTATTCTTATTTTAAAAGGAATGGGTGCAAGCGACAGATTTAAGAATCACGTTGGATAAAATGAACACTTTTGGTGACGAAGTTTTTGGCGATGATCAGGTATTAAAATCCTACTACTATGCGATCGCTGACGTTGCTGTTGGAGCACGTTGTGCTTGCAATGGTCACGCTGGAGAATGTGTAAACAGTACTAGTGTAGATGGAAAAACTCGTAGAGTATGTAGGTAAGATAATTTATAAATAATTATTTTTCTATATACAATAATTAGTTAAAATGATTAAATATTAATAATATATAGAATATAAAATATGAAATGATAATAAATATATAATTAGAATAATTAATTATAATTTTATATAAATATTATATATAATATATATACATAATATATATAAAAATATTTTAAAATTATATATAAAATTATTTTACATATTTTATGTTTTATATTATTTATGAAATTTTAAGAAAATACAATTAAAGTGATTTCATATTAATTTTTTTATATCACAAATTTATAATTCATAAATTTCAAATGGATATGATTTAATCTTTTATAGATGTGAACATAATACTGCAGGTCCAGATTGCAACGAGTGTATGCCCTTTTTCAATGATGCACCTTGGGGACGTGCCACTACTAAAGATGCGCACGAATGTAAACGTAAGTAAAATATTAAATATGGAATAACATTTAAAATAAACTAATAAAAACAAAATATATATTTGCAACTATACTTATATACACATATCGCAAATATAAGCGAAAAGAGAATATCATTGAAGGATTATTATTTCATTTAAATCTTATTCTTCCAACGATTTTTCGTATTCTATTCGATAATAAAAATATTTTTATCATTATAAATCATATTTTTAGTTTATTATTATTATTATTATTATTATTATTATTATTATTATTATTATTATTATTATTATTATTATATTAAATCTTTGTTCAGCTTTTATTTAAATCTGCTAAAAGCAACATAATTGATAATACTATTATTCAATTTTATTAGATGCAATATCAATTTTTATGTAATATTTAAGAGAACGAATGATAAAAAAGTTTATATAAAATGTATAAAATATATATATTATATTGTTATTCTATTAAGAAACATTTTTTAACTTAAAAAAAAAAATGAGAAAGTTAATTTATTGAAAAAAGTTATCTATATCTATAAAAATAAATCATTTTTCTACATTCATATTATCTCCTATATCAATTTTAATATTTTTTTCACTCATAAAAGTATTATATATAAAAGAGAAAGATTTCTTCAGTATTACGGGTATCACCTTTCTGAGCAACTAAAGAGAGTTTACGTTTACGATCACGTTGGCATTACCTTTTACGTTCATTGCTTGTTCTAAAGTGGGGACTGTTGGCAGAAACACATAATGCAGCTTTTCTGTAGACCACGAACTCAGTGTTCAAGATATCGCGATATAAGTAGATATTCATTATATCACATTGAGTCATTACATGATTTTTTAAAAAAAAAGGATGATTTTGATTTTATACATTTATTTATAATTATATTATTTAGTATAAAATATATTGTTGTCATTAAATAAAAAAATCTGTGTTATATATTTATATATTTTAATTATTAATTAAATTTATAACTTTTTTATTGTTATGGCTATTTTTTATCAAATTGAAAGACTTTTATATTTTACATATTTTATGAATCATTGGTCAAAAATATAAGATATACTTTCCAAATATATTAAAATATATATAATATATTTTAAATATTATTAGATATATTTTTAGAATATATCTCAAATTCTTATGAAGAATGATATTTTTAAAAAATTACTCTTTTTTTGTTATAAATTGTATAATTGAACTTTCATTTAAAATGAAATTAATTACATATTTAATATTTGTTAATGTAATGACTATTACTTCATCACACTGGAATGAAATTTTGCCATGGTATTCAAAATCCAGTAAATATCCAAAAAATATTATAATATCATATTAACAATTTTTTATGAAAAATTATAATTTATAATATAAAATTTTGAAATATTTCAAAATTATACAATATTATATAAAAAATATAAATTTTACGTTGATTATGATTGTAATCTTATTTTTCAGCTTGTAATTGCAATGGTTATTCAGAAAGATGCTTTTTTGATAAAGAACTATATAAGCTCACTGGTCATGGTGGACATTGTTTAGATTGTCGAGCTAATCGTGATGGTGCGAATTGCGAACGTTGTCGAGAAAATTTCTATCAGCGTCCTGAAGATAATTATTGTGTTGCTTGTAATTGCAATGAAATCGGTAAATTGATATATTTTTTTCTATTTTTATTTTAAAATTAAAATATATTTATTAATTATAAAATATATTTGTAATTTGTTAATTATAAATATATATAATAAGAAATATTATAATTTTTTATTGTATCAAAAATACAAAACAAATAAAAATATAATACAAAATAAATATTTGATAAAATATATATTTAAATAAATATTTGATATTATAGGTTCAAGAAGTTTACAATGTAACAGTGAAGGAAAATGTCAATGTAAACCTGGTGTAACAGGTGATAAATGCGATCATTGCGCAGCGAATTATTATAACTTTGGTTCATATGGTTGCAATTCTTGTGAATGTAATACAGCAGGTTCTCTTACAAACACACCAAATTGTGATCCTATCAGTGGTGTTTGCACATGTAAAGAAAATGTTGAAGGAAAAAGATGTCGAGTGTTAGTATATTTATATCATTAATATTTTTTATGACACTATAAAATTATAAAAATAAATAACTGAGTAAAATTACACATTTAATAATATCGTTCTATAATAAATAGATGTAAACCAGGATTTTTCAATCTTGCAATGGATAATAAATTTGGTTGTACACCATGTTTTTGTTATGGTCATTCTTCAGTATGTAAACCAGCAAGTGGTTATTCTAAAGTTGTAATAGAAAGTATGTTTGTGAGAGGAGCTGAACGATGGAAAGCTACTGTAGCTGGTAATCCAATAAGACTTCAATATGATCCTCTTACTCAAACAATATCTGCTACAGCATTAGATCGAGACAATGTTTATTTTGTTGCACCTGGTAAATATAAATAAAATTCTTATATCATTCTAAAAATTCTAAAAATCTTATATCATTCTTATAGCAAATGTGTATAGTAAAACATTTGATTGTCTTAATAAAAATTTATACTACATATATTTACTAACTAAGAATATCATTGCATTATACAGATAGATTTCTTGGTGATCAACGAGCCTCTTACAATCAAGATTTGTCGTTTACTTTGAGAATTGGAGAGGCTGGTCCTGCACCTACTGTTCGTGATGTTATATTTGAAGGAGGCAATGGAGAACAAATTACACAACCAATTTTTGGACAAAACAATCATTTACCTTCAGTGACAGTAAATAAGATTTATCTAATATAATTAAATAGTGATCCAATCATATTTATAGCTTATTAATTTATAAAAAATGATTTCAGCCATATGAATACCGTTTTAAATTGCATGAACATCCTAATTATGGTTGGGAACCTCGTCTTTCTTCTCGAGCTTTTATGTCTATTTTATCAAACTTAACAGCTATTAAAATTCGTGGAACCTATACACATCAAGGTATTTTAATTATTTTGAAGATAAAATATTATTTCTATCATATAATTTTCTTTCTATAGGTCGAGGATTCTTAGATGATGTCAAACTGGAAACAGCACTTCGAGGTGCTGCAGGTGAAAGTGCTGATTGGGTGGAACATTGTGATTGTCCTCATGGTTATGTGGGCCAATTTTGTGAATCTTGTGCTCCTGGATTTCATCATGATCCGCCAAATGGTGGTCCTTTTGCCCTTTGTATTCCTTGTAATTGCAATAATCATGCAGATATTTGCGAAGCTGAAACTGGTATTTTTTTTAAGTAAATTTGAATAAAAATTGATTCACAATTTATTTTAATATTTGGATATTTACATTTTTTGATTTATTTTAGGACAATGCATTTGTGAACATAATACGGCCGGTAGTAATTGTGAATTATGTAAACGAGGATATTATGGCCATCCGTTAAAGGGTACACCCGATGATTGTAAATCATGTCCGTGTCCCGATAATGGACCTTGTATATTACTTGGCAATAATCCAGATCCAATTTGTTCTGAATGTCCATTGGGTAGAACAGGTAAAATAAAACTTTAAATATTTTAAATAATTTTTTACTTTTTACTTTTTATAAAAAATTATTTATGTTATTCTTTGTTTTAGGACCTAGATGTGAAACATGTTCGGATGGATACTTTGGAAATCCTGAAAAAGGTATAGCTTGCAGACCTTGTGATTGCAACAACAATATCGATTTAAACGCTGTAAGAAATTGTAATCATGAAACTGGTGAATGTTTGAAATGTGTAAATAACACGGCTGGTTTTCATTGTGAAGAATGTCTTTCAGGCATGTAAAATATAATTTTACTTTTTTAGTATATTTTTTTGATTTTTTAAATAACTATATTTGTAATATTCAACAGGATATTATGGAGATGCATTATCTGATCGTAAAGAAGATGGATGTAAGTTATGCCAATGTTATCCACCAGGTACAATTGAACTCAATGATGGTAGAGTAGCACCTTGCGAACAATTAACAGGTCATTGTACTTGCAAATCTCATGTGATTGGTCGAAATTGTGATAAATGTGAAGAAGGATATTATCATATATTAAGTGGAGAGGTACTTCAAATTGCTATAATCGTTTTACAAATATAAGATGAATATTAGCTTGTTTTAAATTAAATAATTATATACATATATTTTAGGGATGCACGCCTTGCAATTGTGATACTGAAGGATCTTATAATCGTACTTGTAATCCTGTTACTGGTCAATGTGAATGTAGACCTGGGATTACTGGACAACATTGTGATGCGTGCGTTCCTTATCAATATGGATTTAGTAGAGAAGGCTGCAAACCTTGTGATTGTGATAGTATTGGTTCTCAAGATCTGCAATGTGATGCCAGTGGACAGTGTCTAGTAGGTTTATTAAAAATGTACTGCATGATAAAAATTTAATTATTATTAAAATAATTATTTTTATATTTTAGTGTTTACCAAATGTAGAAGGAAGACGTTGTGATCGTTGTAAAGAAAATAAACACAACAGACAAAATGGATGTGTCGATTGTCCTGATTGTTACAATCTTGTTCAAGCTGCTGCTAATAATCACAGAATACGTTTAACTGAACTAGAAAATACACTCAAAAAGATTAACAGTAGTCCAACAGTTATAAAAGATTCAGATTTTGAAAAAGAATTAAAAAATATTCAGGATAAAGTAAAGAATCTTTTACAAATCGCAAAACAAGGATCAGGTAGTAAGTATAATTTATATACTCTTTTATATATTCATTTCTTGAGTCATTTCAATTGAATTCGATTTTTTTTATTAATAATTTTTAAGTATGAAGAAAGTAAAAATAAATTGTTATTAAGTGTATAAAATTATGTAATTTTAAAATTTTTCTTCAATCATTAATCATAAGTTTTTTATTAGTTAAAATGAAAAACAAGATTGAAATGTAAAAAATGTAATAGAATTAATAATATCATTTGGATAAGATTATATGAAGAAAATGTTTTAGGTGAAAATAAAACTTTGGTGGAACAACTTGATGAATTGCGCGACCAATTAAATGAAATTAGTGAAATCTCTCAAACTGTAAATTTAACTGCTTCTGATGCATATAAAACTACTTTGGAAGGTTTAATGAATATTGATGAAGCAGAAAAAGTGCTTGATAAAATACATGCTCAATTAACTGTAAGAAAAATAATATAATTTTATATAAAATTATAATAAAAATTAATATATGAATGAAATCTTTATCATTAAAATATAAATAGGAAACAGAAGATTATTTAGCTACAGATGGAGCAACTGCATTAACAAAAGCGAAATTACGCGCAGAACAAGTTGGTCAAGGAAATAAACAAATGACTTCAATTGCACAAGAAGCGCGTGTATTAGCAGATTTGTGAGTAATTTAGTTTTATAAATTTTAAATATTTCTTTAAAATATATCTATATATTATTTTTTATTTATAGAAATGTTAATGAAGCAAAAAAAATACATGCACTAGCAGAACGAGCTCGAAATACAACAATAGAAGCTTACACTCTTGCAAAGAAAGCTATAGGAAAATACACTAATATAACGTATGTATTTATTCATTATTTTATATTAAAATAAAGTAATAATATAATTATTATCAATGTTTATATTAATAATTATATTATCAATATAATATAATTATATCAATATATAGTTATATTAATATAGTTTTCAAAATTATTTTAACTATGTCGTAGTATTAAAAAAATAAGTTTTAAAAAATTAATTATATATTTAGTGATGATATTAGAGGATTGGAAAATAAATTAGAATTACTAGAGCATCGTATGAATGAGGTGAAAAATCTTACCAACATAGCAGCTACTAAATCATCCACTGTTTCACAAGAAGCAATAGATCTATTGATTCTCGATTTAGCACTTCCACCTGTTGACATCGAGCAATTAAGAAATCAAATTGAAGATGTGAATAATGAAGTAAATATAAATTATAACAAATATTGTTGTTGATAATTATTTATGATAGTTTAATTGATAATAAAATATTATAGGGATTGCGATTGAAAGAACAAGCACAATTATTATTAGATCAAAATGAAAATCTTATAAATGAAATGGCACAAAAAGTAATAAAAAGTGAAGAGTTAATAGAACGAGCGCAGGATCAACAAGCAGCTACGGCCGAACTTTTGGCTGAATTAGATGGCGCAAATGAAAAAGCAGATGATGCTGTAAAACGAGGAGATCAAACTTTGAAAGAAGCTCAGGAAACATTAAAAAAATTAGGCGGTATATATCATATTAATTATATATATCATATAATAATTTTTATTGATAATAATGATAAATTTAAAAAAAAGGAAAAGTATATCTATTAATTATGATATTTCTTTTAGAATTTCATGCTGAAGTAGAGCGCGAACGTATTAAAGCTCAAAATGCTTTAAAAGATATTAAAAATATCGAAGAATTAATCATAAATGCTACAAATCAAGCTTTACAAGCTGAAAAAAAATTAATGGTTCTGAAAATAATGCTGAATATGCACGCAAAATAGCACAAGATTCTCAAGTTAGTATAATTAATGTTATATATAATGTTATATATAATATAATTTTGTATGTATTAAATATAAAATATTTTTATATCAGAGATATGCAGAAGAAGCTAGTGCAAAAGCAAACAACATTAGAACTGAAGCGAATAAAATTAAAATAGAAGCAGTTCGCGTAGGAAATGAAGCTGAAAAATTACATCAAAGGGTAGATAGTACAGATTCTATGATGAAACAACATGAAAATCAAAGTGATCAAGATACAAATATTACAACTGAAGTAAGACATCAGTTGTATATAATACTTAATATAATAATGTATAATAAAAATTATGTATATTATTTAATTTTTTTAGGCAAATCATAAAGTTGGTTTAGCTAAGATTAATGTAACGTTAGCATCACAGCAAGTTGATAAAGCTCTAAGTGAAGTAATTGAAATAATAAAAGAATTAGAAAATCTACCGGAAATTGGTATATTACTTTTTTCTGTTATCATAATTTTATAATTCTATTATTTATTTTATTTTAATTTAATCTTTATATAAATATATATAAATTAAATTTTTTATTTTTAGATAATGCTGATTTAAATCGATTAGAAGAACGCTTAGCTGCAGCTGAAAAGGAAATTGCAGCTGCAAATCTAGATCAAAGAATTCGTACATTAACCGATGCAAAAAATTTACAAACACAATGGGTAAAGAATTATGAAGATGAAGTTAGTAGATTAAGAATGGAAGTTGAAAACATTGATGAAATAAGAAAAGTTTTGCCTGTTGATTGTCAAAAACGTTTACGACTTGAACCGTGAAAAACATTTTTAAACTTGTATAATATTTAAAAGTAAAACTTCATAATGCTACAGTGCCTTACATGCATTGAAGAAAGAAATAAGATTTAAAAGATATTAAAATAATAATTGCAAAATTTATCATATTCCTTTTAAAATTAAGATTCGTACTATATTACAGCTTTCTTCAAGAATTGTAAAGTATATTTTAATCATAAATTTATGATAAAATTAAATAAGTTATAATATAATTATACATTAGTGTTAAATAAGCAGATATTACTTGAATATTTACTTTTAAATCATTTTATTTAACATATCATTTATAATGTGATTTTATATTTTTTCTTTTTTTAAATATTATGCGCTTCTATATACAAACAACTGATATAATGACCATCATACCAAAGATCTTATCATAGATTGTTTATTATTATTATCAGGCCATTTGCATTATTCAATTTGTTCATCTTTATAATACAGTTTATTTGTACGTATGTATAAATATGTATATAGTATCTATATACAATCATTTATAAGTTTTAAGAAAGCGTCAAAAGTTCCTTTGAAGGATAATTTTTTAATATACAAAATCGAATAATAAATAAATTAACATATATTGTATGGTTTGCTTATAGATTATTAAAAATCTATGTGAAAATATTTTCAGAATTAGAAAGAAAATAGAAATTTAAATATATATTATAATATATATCATTACACATCATTTTTAAGTATCATAACATTTTTATACAAATTTTTTATATATATCTAATATGAATAAATAATAAATAAACCTCAGAAAATATATGGTGTAATATATCAGTATGTTATATTTCAAAAATATTTCAAAAATATACAAAATAAACTAAATATTTTAGACTTTACATGGAAATAGGTTTTTCAGGGCGATACAATATTTATTTACTGACATAGGATGTTATATTTGATCTTATTTGTAAATGTAAGATCAAATTATTAATACATTTTTTATGATTATATTCAACTACGTTTATGTTTACATTCATTAAAAATAAAAAATCAAATTCTCATTCCTTTTAAACGATTTATTTTGAGTAATGATTGATATTAAAAAGTTTAATTTATATTTAAAAATATTTATTTCTCTTTTAAAATATCGAAAGATATTGAAATTAATACAATTTTTTAAAAGAAAAAATATTTCAGTTTAATTAATTGCATGCATTTAGGGAAGGGAATTTTATAAAGATCCTGTCAAAAATAATAACTATAAATATTTATTATAATGGATCATAGATTATCGCTAACTTAATAATTCATTATTAAAACAGAAGTTAACACATTCATCTAAATGCTATGAAGAAGAACCAATAAATTCTTAGAGAAACTAGAAAATTAAACATTTCACTTAATTATAAATAAAATTATTAGAAACACCAATATAGCGGTCAACACTCCAATGGCTACCCATTGTCTCCGATCTAAAACAAACGGAAAGTAACATCACATGCGTCACTTATGAAAAAAGTCAGAATCAAAAGATTTTATTGTCATTCATTGAATGACGTTAAAATTAAATGAGTAACATATTGTATAGTATACTATATAAAAAAAATTAATACTTATATATTTGGCCCTTCTTCAAACGATAAATATTGTACATTATTTTCAACATGCATTCATTAACAAGCAGTTTATAACAACATTATGCTTTTTATATTGATACTCTGCACTCCTAAATATTAAATAATAAAATAATAAATCTTTAATTAATAAATTTGATATTACTAAAAAATTAAAAATAAAAAATAATTAAAAAATTAAAAAATAATGATATTGATTTTATTATTTATCATTTATAAAATTTGATATAGTCTAATAAAAAGATCTTTGATTTTTTATATATTTTAAAAAATGTTTTGATATATCTTATATAAATTTTAATAATGTTAATTAGAATGCAAAGAATCAATTTATATATAATATTATAAAGTACTTTATAATATTATAAAGTAATTTAATAATTTAATTGATTTCTAAAGTTACATTTTGAATTAAAATTATTCATACATAACAAGCAGTAATTGTAACATTTATTAAATTACAAAAGCTTCAGATTGATAATTCTTGTTAATTTTTTAAACATTGCATAAACACATAAATAAAAATTCTTTGCATAAACATATAAAAGCAATAATTAGAATAGAATGATACCTGTAAGACACAAATTTTGAATGAAAAAAATTATATTCCATGGTTGAGAGATCTTATAATAAAATTTTAGGTATAAATTGTTTATTTTTTGATTATTAAAAAAAATAATTACATAATAATTAAAATAAAAATTGAAAGTTATTTTTGATAAAAATTATATTATTAATTATATTAAAAATATAATAATATATATATTTATTATTATCTCTCAAGCAAAGAAATCAATATATAATGAATTCTTATTGTTGTAATTATTATTTAAATAGTTTTAATGGATTAGGAGTTTGGTACTTTACAGCAACATGTACAATATAAATAAAGTCTCCAATTTTATTATCAGTATGTCTTCACAATTGGTCATTTATGCAAAATAATAAAGTATATATAATTTTTTCTTTTAGCTTTTAAATACAAACTAAAATAAACAATTTCTGTTTTATGTATGAATTTACAACATTATATTATTAATATTTTTTTAACAATGAATAAATATTTCAATTTTTAATTTTTTCATTTTTTTTTAAATTGAAGAGAGTTTCAAACTATCTTATAGTACTTATGAACAATCTCATTCACATTGAGAAACAATCAATCAACAATCATCATACGTACAAATAATTGTTTTCACATTTTGCTCTTCTTTCTCTTCAACAATTTTCTTTCAAACTTTTCAAACTTTGTATTTTCGTTTACATTCATTACACACATAAAATGATTGGTACTTTTACAATGTTATATGAATATTTCACACTAGCATGTCCTAAACTATTTTTTATCTATGCCCTATCAATATTAATATCATATATTAATATCACATATACATTGGAAGTAGAAGTATCAGAAGTTTTAGAACATACTAAGAAACAGTATGTATATATCTATAAATGTGACATTAAAATTTTTCCAGGCACAAATTATTTGTGCTATTTTTTTTTATTTTTATATTTGACTTGAAATATTTGACAAAATTTAATTCTTCTAATAATCTAAAATTAATTGTATATATTGAGGTATTTTTATACAATTTAGCTATAATCTTTTAATATACAATAATTTTTTTAATTTTCTGATTTTGCTATTGAATTTCAAACTATTTTAGTGCTATTATACTATATAAATAATAATTACTTGAATTGTATTAAATTACAGAAATTTTAAAGATAATTATTTTATGGAAACTGCAACTGGTCCATTTTAATACTACACTTTTAGCATTTATTTAAATCTGAATATACATAACTTTTTCAAAATTTATAGATTTTCTAATTATTTTATATAGATTTTTAACAATTGTTTATATTAAAAAACTTTTTTCTTTATTCTTGTTTATTCTTATTAAGTGAGAAACACATTCATAAAATGTATTAAAACATATTGCATAAAAAACATATAAAAAAACACACAAATCAAAATATAAAATTTAATTCTTAATTTTTGAGTAATAAAAATAAATAAAAAAGAATGGTAAAAATTTTTAAATTAAAGTAGTAATTATTATTAGATATATTTATTAATTTTATTTTTATCTGATATTTATAACATGTCTTAATATTTTGTTAAAATTGTTAATATTTTATTAAAACATTAAATATTTAATTTTTCTCAATTGAAATAAAAGTAATAAATAATTTTAATAATTTTTAATATTTAATAATTTTATTTTAATTTTGTAATTTTTTGTTTATAATAAAAAATTAAAAAATTCATAAAATGAAATCAATATCAATATTTCATTATATGTATTAATTATAATGTAAATGCATTAAATGTAATTTAAAAATTAAAAAAAATAAATTATAATTAATTTGACTGATTTTTTGCTTTAAAGATAATGCCAATTTAATGAGACTTCTACTCTCCAATAAATTATTTTTTCTAAATAATTACATGTCAATATAATCCTACATATATTTAATAAAAAAAATCAAAAGTTTAAAAATAAGTGCAACAGTGCTAAGAATCAATTTAAATTAATTAAGAAAATATATGACTTATTTTCATAGGTGATTACAATATGCAGTTATTATAAAGATAAAATGAATTATTAAATTCATAACACAATTTCATAATTTTTCAGTAAATGTTAGAAATTATTAATTTTTAATAACACAACAATTAGATAATAATAATAAAGCCAACTTAACATTTTAAATAAATATTAATATTTATACTTAATATTTTAAATAAATTGATTTGAAAAAAATGAAATTGAAATTGTTAAATGAAAAAATATAATTTATAAATATTACTGAATAATTATGATAAAATTATAATAAAAATATTTAATCTCCAGAACATAAGAAACAGTTAGTTATTGTATTTGATAAAGATGATAGAGAAGAAGGTTTAGAGGCAAGATCAGAAACACTAGATGTTGCAGTAGTAGGAGCAGGAATGTAATTATTATAGTTACCATTACTCATATGAAGAACTTTGGCCATTTTTTTCATTGTTGCATCTAATTTAGAATCCGTTACTTCTAATTCATTACCAAATTCATCTAACATACTGAAATGATTGATGTATAAAAATATGTTAATTTAAAAAATCATTTTATTAATAACAAAAAAAAATAAATAGTAATAACTATTAAACTTACACTGCTTGTTCATCTAATTCAGTATTGATTTGTCTAGATACTGTTTTCAATGTTCCAATGCTTTCACCTATCATATCTAATTGCTCATCTTGTTGTCTCATCATGTCATTTTGTTGTTGTAAGGTATCTCCTAAAAATTGTCTATTTGGACTATCAATTTCATTTTCCAATTTGCTATATTTTGTTGTGCCATGATTGACAGGAACTCGAGCAGGACTATTATCTAAAAGTGGCTGTAAGATATAAGAAGATATAAATTAATAGATTAAAAAAATACCACATATAATGAATATTTATTATTGAAATAAATTAATAAAAAATTTCAAAATATTTAATTAACGACTTGATAAATGTATTTAAATTACAGAAAGTTATATGTTAAATCATAAAAAGTTTATTTTATATACGATAGTAATGATATCAAATTCGTTGATTTACCGCATAAACCATTTTTTTCTTTCTGTAATTCTAATTGATAATATTTTATTTGTATATTCAGAAATAAGGGAACAAGTTTGATAATCACTATCAATATTATTGGCAATTTGACAGTTTTACATAGGTGTCGCATCATATACGGTAGTAATTTACGAGCGAAATTTAAAAGTATAAAGTGCTGTATTTGTATGAAGTTAAACATCTTGTAATAAATATATATTATAAAATTTGAAAATAATAATAAATATTACAAATGTAATTACATTATACAATTTATTACAACTTATTTACAATATATTACAATTATAGTATTATAATTGTATTGTATTGTATTGGAATATTATGTTAAATCATAATCGAAATTTTCATTGCATATTTCTGAAAAATATAAATGATATACTAAATGACAAAAATTATAAAGTTAAAAGAAAATAAAATCATTTAATTTCTACAAACCTGTCTTGCTGTGTTATCACGATCCCGACCTCTACTTAAATTCATTTTATCCTTCATGGTCTGTAATAAATTAATAATAATTGATATATATATTTTTATAAAACTTATTTAAAAGATATTTAATCAAATTTTTAATTGATATAAATGTTAAATGTTATACAAGTATTACCTTAACTTCTTCTCGTGTTTGTTCGATAAAACTTCGTTGAACCGTTAATTCTTTGTTATCTATTTTAAACTTTGTTGGATTTTTTTCTACAATACGTATATATACACATACATACATATATATATATATAGTACGTTAAGAAAAATATAGAATATAGAATATAAAAATTTAAAATTTATAAAAAAGTTTTTCAATCCATTTTATACAAATATAGAGTTTAATAAATAAATAATAATTCAATATATATATATAGAATAATAATTCAATACAATATAGTGTCAATTATCTGAATTTTTCTTTTTCAATGACGGATTATCTGAATATAATGAGTATATATTTAAATTATATTTGAAAATGTTTTAAAAAACATTTTGAAAAATACATTTTGAAATAGTATCTACATTAATTTTTTATTTTAATATTCCAAATATATATTATTATATATATTATATATATTATTTTATATTATTATATATATTATATATATATGTTTTAATATATTAATATATAAAAATATATATTTCATAATATTCTCTTATGAGATATATATTATCATATATAATTATACTTGTTTGAAAATTATTGTTTTTTTTAATTGAATTATAAACATATTCATAAATTTGGTTTTTCTTAATCGATTATCTGAAAAATCACTTATAAAAAAATGATTTATTATTATCGAATAATCGACATTATATAATATTTCTAATAAATATGCATATTATATTTATTATTATTAAATTTCAAAAATTAAAAAAAATAATGTCATGGTTTATATATAATATATAATATATATTAAAGGATATAAATCGTATCTTCTAAATCATCAAGATCCCATTCGATTGAACGTAAAGCTTTCCGTAATTCAGTAGTAGTCCACTCTAATTCGTCGCGTGAGATTGGGATTCCCCCACTCACAGTAGGACTCGTGACAACATCCTGCAATTCCGTCCAGCGCCCGTATAAACCGCGATTTTTATTTAAGGCTTTACAAACTTCGCTATATAACAAAAAATAAATTTATACTATAAATAAAATTAATTAATAATTAGATATTAAGTTTCTAATATCATTAGTAACAAATATTTTATATTATATAAAATATATTATATAAAATAATTGTATTTTAAATTGTATTTTATATTAAAAATTTTAAGTAAATTTTAAGTATTTTATTTAATTAAAAAATTTCTTTTTAATAATATTAAATATTACTAAAATATAATTATATATTTTATATATTATAAATTATATTTTGTGTAAGTATTAGAATACTAAAATTAATTCGTAAAAATGTAAACGTTTTTTAATAATCATAATATAAAAAGTATAAAGAAATGTCTATTATTCTAAAGAATTTCATAAATTTTATAAATTTCTTTTTATAATAATTTACATAAATATTAAAAGACAATAAAATCTAATTGCGAAAAATTTTTCGCAAGTTCAATATTTTAATAAAAATAACGTCAATGTTGAACAAATTTAATAAATAGAATAAAATGTGAAAAGTTAAGATTAAGTATTTATAATATACGTACGTATTAAAATAACATTCAGAATAAATAAATTATTATAGAGAAATTTTTTTGAAAATTTCTTTAAATAAAAATTATTTTGAAAAGAATGGTTTTCTTTGTAATAGTTTATTCTATTTGTAATAGTTTAGACTATTCATATAAAGGGCTGATGTATATATACATTATCAATGTTATAAAAGAGACAACAAAAGTTTAGTAACTACATAAATTTGACGAAGCTGATATTAATTCATCATTGATAATTTATAAAATTAAAAAAATATTGATTTAAAATTTACGATAAGATTATAATTTTTACTTACTCCTTGACGACAAAGAACGGATTCTCTAGCGTCATTCCTTCTTTTAATTTAAAGAGGTGGCCTTTCTCGCCGCCTCACGGCACCCACAGAAATACGTATACACAATTTGTCGATCATCGGTAGAAATTCCAAACTTACAGAACTATTGATAGTCACAGGAACGATGACAATAATCAAATTGACACTTGCTCGCGCTCTACTGTTATGGTATACAATGTCGTGATGTATTGTGACGTCTGCTCTGAGTCTTCCTGCAGACGACTATTTATTCGATTTTTTTTAATTCGTTCGTGCGCAAACACGCCTCTCTAAAAGCCACTGTAATATTGATTTCGTGTAGAAACATTTAAAGTGAAGTTCACAGTCACTTATGATAACAAAAATTAATTAATAATCAAAATACGATAAAATGTATACAATGATTATTAAAATTTAATGCTTGATCATATTATGTAATAATTTAATGTTTTTTATGGCTAACTTAAAAGCGTTTGATTTATTCGACAACACTTGTTCATCTATATTCATAGATTGAAACTTGCGCATCAAAAAAATTATTTCGCGCCAATTCTTTAAAAATATTCTGATAAATTGTAGTACAAACATTAAATTTATTATTATATTTTAATTTAATTTCAATATAATTACGTATATAATAATTATATGTATAATTATAATTTATTATTTACATAATTAAAAGATAATTATATAATGTTCTTTTTAATTAGCTACATAAACAAAATAAGTTTGGAAAATTGTACATATATATTTCTGATATAACTTCATAAAAAAAAATGAAAAAATCATAAAATTTTTAATTGATATAATAAATTAAATTATATTATATTATAGATTATAGAAAGATATAATAAATTAAAGATTAATAATGTTATTAAATAAAAATGTATGTATAAATTTTATTACATAAAATATTCTTATATAAAAATATATATAAATAAATTTATGTCTTTTTAAATATCTTATGTGATTTCTGTTTTTATATGATCATGAATTACAATATGTAGTGTTGATATTTTATGGCAATCTTTTAAAACGAATAAGTGAAAGAACATATTTAAAAATTTATGTGTATGTGTAAAAAGAAAATATTGTGTTGATACTTCTTAGTATTTGAGAACATATCATAGAGGAAAGCAGTGGCTGGCTTTAGAAGATAAAATTCGTAAGTAAAAAAATTATATTATATCTATATAAAATTTGATATCCATAACCTCTTTTCTTTTGATCTAAGTGCATTTAATTAAACACTTTCAATTTCATAAATCTATTTTATAAATATATTTTTCATAAAAAATTAATTTTGATATTGAAAATGATAAATTACATAATAACAAATTAAAAATATTTACATATATTTAAATATTTGCAATAACAATTTATTTTTCTGAATATTTTTACAGTTTATTAACATAAAATTAGATTATTAAAATATATTCGTGTTTTGTACATTTTTATTGACTTAAAATTTGCAATATATATATTCTGAAAGTGCTAAAAAATATGTTTACAAAGCTAATATCAATATGCAAACTGTATTTTTTAAGGATTATATTCTTACATTCTATTAAACATAAATATATATATATTACATATTTATTTCTTGTTATAGAATTCTTTGTAATACAAGAAAAAGTATATTTATAGAATATAATTTAAATATTTTAATAATAAAATTTTTTATATATATTAGAAGCATCACATTTTTATATATATTTTTAAGAATATAATTTTTTTAATTTTTTTACTAAGCTAATAAATATACATTAAATGATTTAACAAGATTTAACATTTATAATTATATATGAATTCTTTTATATGTAATTCTTATATATTATATATATATAAATATTCTTGCAGGCATATTTTATATCTGCAAAGAATATTTTTGAATATTATACATAGAGTAGATTATATATATATACATATATTTAAATTAAAATAATATACCTTTTACAAAATAAATTTTGTTTATACTTGAGATATAAATTGTCAATTTTAATAAGAATGCACAATCAACATAATCCTTCATATTCATCTTCTTCATCATTATTTATATTTTTTGAAAATGCTGCTTGTGCTTGTTCTTTTTCAACAGTGTCTTCTGATGATGTTTTTGAAGCATCTTCAGATTCATTAATATTTATGTTCTAGAATATGATATATAAACACAAATTGAGGATTTTTATTATAATATATATATATATATGAATGAATAAAAATAAATTAATAAATAGAAAAATTTATTTTTTACTTGAACTTCATTTGTAGTTTCTTCCATTAATTTTGATGCGTTAGGAGATGTATATGATTCTGCTGCATTAGCTCTTACTCCTGGAGGAGGTATTGCATATTCTTGTTGTGGTAAAGGTAAACCTCTAGCAAGTTTAGCATATTCAACATCCATGTGTTTAATAAAAGGATTATTTAAGGCTGCTCTTGCAGCATCTGCATCTTCATTGTCATATGCTTGTAATAACATTTCTAATGTATTAATCTAAAAATAAATACAAATATAAAAATTTTAATATAAAAATCAAAAGAAAATTTCTAAAAGATGATTTGACCTCAGGTGCTTCACAATAATTTCCCCATTCTTTGAAAGCTTTTTCAGCAGCTACTTGATCACCTCGAGCTAACTGTACTAAAACTAATGCTACTGTTAATCTACCAACAGATGGTGTATGATCTGTCTGTTGATGCATTCCAATTTCTCTACGAATTGCATCTGCTGCTTCATCATACATTTGTAGTTTTACTAATAATCTTGCCACTTTGCTCATATATTCTGCTGCTTGACGTGGACTATCTTCACCCTTCATTAAAAAATATGTTAATATAATTTTCAATTTTTATTATTATTTATTAAAAAGAAATTATATTTTACCATAACAATACTAGCAGCACGTTTAAACAAGTCTAGTGCTTCTTGTGGTTGAGTAGCTTCTATCATTTTTCCTACTTTATCAAGTACAGTTGCACCTGATTCAGGCGACCCATGCATCAAATATAAAGAGCAAGCACTATGTGCTAATTTTGAAACTTCTGTAAGATTTCCCATTTCTTTACAAATTAAAGTAGCTTGTTCAATACTCCTATAATATTATATATTGATTTATTATACATGATAATAAAAATTTTTTTTATAAAATATATCATTAAAAATCTAAAAAACTTACTTTGCAGCATGAAACCATCTTTTATGCAGTAATGTTAAAGAATAAATATTTTAAAATTATATAAAGCAAACTCAAAATCATACTATAAGATGAGTCATATAAAATAACTATTTTAATTATCTTGTAAATTATTACCTATATAATAAAAAATTTCATAAAAAAAATTATATGATATAAATGGAGATATAATTTAATATTATTAATTTCTTGCAGATATACATATAAAGAACATATAAAAATCAATTTTGTTTTTTTTTAAATAAAATCATAAATTTTTTAATACATCAATCAATAATGATTATTTCTCATAAAAAACTATTAAACTGTTTATACAAAAAACAAATATACAAGAAACATTCCTCTTTTTTCATATAGTGAATTTTACTTTTTTTTCATTGAAAATTATTTATAGCATAAAGAATTGGATCATTAAATTAAAAATTATATGATTCTATTAAGAAAAGATTTCTATATGTCTATTTATCTATTTATAAAAAAAATATATTATATCTTCATCTATACAATGCAATTTTAATATGTTATTTTATACAATAAATAATTTAAAAATTATTATATGTGTAATCGTATTACATAATTCATCCTGTACATTTAAATACAAGAAATAAAATGTTGTTTAAAAGAAAGGATACGATCTATTTTCTTTATAACAATCGGAAGCTTTCATTAAGCAATCTTTACATTGTTGATAAGATTTTGCTATTCTAAAGCAAGTTGCTAGAATAAATAACAGAAAATATGTTATTTATATAATATTATATCAGTTACTAGAATGTTTTATTTTACATACTACTTTAAGTTATATATATTATATCTAATATATTTTACCTGCACTTGTATATTCGTCAGCCGCAACTTCGAAATCAGGTCTCCATTTTAATAATGATGTTTTCAAGCTATAATATAAAATTACCTTATTTGAATATATGAATCGATAAAAATGAAATTATTTTTATATTATAAAAAAATATATATTATCGATTTCATATAAAAAAATTGTCGAAAACTAGATTAATTGTTGACATAATTTTATATGACTTGTCATCTTGCATTAACAATACCTTTTTTCAGCTTGTCGTATATGAAGATTTCCTTCTTCAATTTTTGACATTTTTTTCCGAATGGTGTCTTAATTTGATTTTCGTCAGATTTTATGATTGTCAGTAATGAAATGATTACTGTCAGAATTATTTCTGTATTGAATGACTATTATCGAACCACCGTACAGACAATAGATTTTTCGTTCTACACGATTTAAATGTGTTAGATTAGTTTATCAATGTACGTGTTATTTTACATTGTATGTGAATATCTTTGAGGTCTCTAGTAGTCTTACCATTTTCGTATCACTTCCAACTTTATCGATATTATATGTATTTTCACTTAGTTAACTGCATGTTATAAGATTATAAATAACAAATGAATTGATTTGACAATAAATAGTATAATTTTTTGATAGATGCTTCAGAAATCCTTTCTATTTCCTTTGTTATCTAGCCAGATTTTTGTTTGTTTAAATTCTACTGTTATAGTTGAATGGTCAAAACTGATATATCAGATTATATTGCTTTGTGAGATTATCATTCTAAAGATACATTGTAATAATAAATTTCAGAATATCTATATTTTTTATATTAAAAACTTACATTACAAAACATTACATTATAAAACATTATTGTCATATATTGTCTTGAAAAAGAAAATATATAATTGACATTTTATATTTCGTCTATAGTCACGAAATAATTCTTAGTTTTTAATTAATTTAAATATAAGCATAAATACCAAGAGAAAATAAAGGATATGATGAGAATATGAATAAACCACCAATATTTTTCTTTCTTTACTCTCAATACTATATCTCAACTATTTTAATACTATATCTCATTTTAATACTATCTCTTTATATTTTTGTTATTCTTTTTCATTATTTGCACTTTTATTTGAATTGCAGAATGCATTTAAGAAATGATTCTGATTAATTTTATTATTTTCTTTACATAAGATATTGATTAACAATCTTAAAAATCTTTGTTAATATTTTTTCTCTATATTATATAAATACTAAATACATACATTTTTATTTTTTATTATTTTTTTTAATGTTTTTAACATATTAATATAAAATTAATTTTATTTATGCATATTTATGAACTAACCTAAGAATATATTGTATTATATAATAATATGTTTACTTATAAACATATAACATATTTTTTTAAAAATAAATCTATTTCTTCACGAATATTTTTCCTTTATTATTCCTTTTAATGTTATTATCCATTTTTATATAAATAAGATTTAAATTATAATTTATCCATTGTCTTTCTTTCTTTCTTTTTTAAATGATACAAATATTTAATAAAAATATATTTCGTCCATAAATCAAACAAGAATCGAAAAAAAATGTTTTGACAATCAGCGCCATCTCGTGTTTGGATTATTGAAGCTCCGACTCATTACTAGCATAACAGAATATGCAAGGAGGTATACGAATTAGCGTGACGTCATAAACAAGGAAAACAATATCTTTTTAGATATGGCGTTCCTTGTCTCTGAATTAATATACTTCCTTATACTTCTGCTATGTTAATAACAAATCGAAACTTCGACGATCTAAACACAAGATGGCGTTGATATTCAATTCTTATTTATTTATTTTATTTTTATAAAAATATTTTTAATACTTGAAAAATAGCGCTAAAAGTCAATTCTTATATCTTATCCTTATTTTTTATCCTTTTTTTTTTGTTTCATTTGCACTAATTTCAATATTTTTTTTCGATGATATAAAGTATGGTATGATAATTAAAGATATTTTCATTATTTTTCTTTCAAAATTATAATAAATTTTAATTTTCAATATAAAAAATATAGATATTATCCTTTGAGATTCTTATATAAAAACAATAATAGTTCTATATTAAATCTGATTTTAGATTTTTAGATTGGTCAGAATTATAATTTTTATATCAAAAACAAACTAATTATTTCTATATTTAATTACAATTTTTTTTATCTCAATAATAGTATTGTCTTAATCTGAATTAATAATATAATATTAAAATGATAGAAGCATGAAGATTATATGATACAAAATGCATTGGATGATCTATTTTATATCTAATCTATGATATAACATTTGAAATTTTATTTTTAATTTCTCTGCAGTAGATGGTGTTGTAAGTAAAAAATTTTGATGTTGTGCACGCGTTATACTATTTCAAAGCAATTAAAAATATTATTGTTAATATTAATAATTTAAATTTAATGCTATAGATGTTAATATAGATTTCATGTATCTGTGATTTATTGCTTTTTCTTCATGTGATATATATATTTGTATTGTGTTTTATTTATTAGTTTATATGTGAACACATTGGCGGGAAATAAGAAGACATTGTGTCAAAATTTATTACCTTTATTTTAATATAACTTTTATTAAATCAATTAATTTTAACGTTTTAACGTTTGTAGAACTAAGTAAGTTTATTTATAGTTTTTTACTATTATTAATATTCTTTGTTCATATTACATCATAACCTTAGAATATATATGTATTTTTTTAATTAATAATTCTTTTTTTTTTATATTTTATGGTTGACATTAATGTGTTTCTATAAAATAAATAAATAAAAATATCAGATGGCAGAAAGATTGGAAGATCTTAATTTACCAAATGCAGTTGTAACAAGAATTATAAAAGAGGCATTACCAGAAGGAGTTACAATTGCTAAAGATGCTAGAACTGCAGTAGCAAAAGCATCTTCAATTTTTATATTATATTTAACATCATCTGCAAATATAATTGCTAAAAAAGGAAATCGTAAAACAATAAGTGGTCAAGATGTTATTCAAGCAATGACTGATATAGAATTTGATGAATTTGTTGATCCACTTCAAGAATCATTAGAAAATTTTCGTAAAGCTCAAAAAGAAAAGAAAGATGCAACATCTAAAAAAAAACAACAGAAAAAGGATGAAGATGATATAATAGAAGAGGAAGATGGTGGAAGAGAAGTTATGGTTTTTTGATATGTATTACGAATATAAATTATAATATGTAAAAAAAAAGATATATATACATATTTTACAAAATTATTATATAAATAATAAAGTTAAAGTCTAAACTGATAAAGTTTGTCACATTCTATTTATTATTATAAAATAAACTAAATAAAATATATTAATATAAAAAATTTAAATATTATAAATATTTTATCTTCATTAAATCTTCATTAAAAATTACATTATTCTTCAAAAAATTGTTTCTTTTTAAATCTTTTATTTGTAATTTTTATTTTAACAATGTTTGTTCAAACAATATATACATTGATAAAATGTAAATATTTTAATTATTAATATCTTTAAGATACTGCATTTGAGAAGTGAATTTTTATAAAAACAATTTTTTTATAAACACACATAATTTATAAAAGCTTGCTTAATTTTTATCTTTTTTTTTTTGTATTATTAATTCTCAACTATTATAATGGATTAAAATTATAATTTTACTTATAAGACTATTATATTTACAGATATATCAGTGTCCATTTTATATAAAAATTGTTTGTAATCAAGTTAATAAATGCAACCCTCATTTTATTTCTTATTTTCAAATATTTAAAATCTTATTATATAATTAAATAATAATAAAAAAGTTAGATAATTTTTATCTATTTTAAATATAATTTTTATATATAATCTCACTTCTATAAAGTATCATTGTAATATTGAAAAAATAAGTGAGATTAACAAATTTTCACATATATATAAATAAAACTTGTTTGTTTCTTAAAATTTTTGTTCAATAATAATCATAATTATACAAAAAATCAAACATTAAATATAATTAAATCAATTACTTAATGGAAAAGATATATTAAAATAATCTCATTCGGTAAATTCTATATATGTTATGAAATATTTTTCTTGTAAATAGAAATATTTGAAGTATATAGATATATACTATACATATTATAATTTTTAAATAATAAATTATTCGTATATCATTAACGAAATAGAAATTCTGAAAGACAAATGATCTAATTTTGGAATTATTTACAAAAAACATTATTCATATTTTAAGGCTTTATAATGTGAATTTTATGTTTTATCACACTTCTACACATTGGACAATCTGAAGAAATCATATTTGCACAACCTGAACAACAACAAAGGTGCCCACATGGTAGAAAAATTACTTCACACTGTAAGAAAAGTAAAAGACTCTCAAGAAACGTATAATTTTAATATAAAGATCTTTTAAATAAAATGAAAATTTTTTTTACTTGTAAATCAAGGCAAATTACACATTCGGCAGTATTAATGCTCTGAATAGTATTATATTCTTGATAATTGGAACTTGTACAAGCTTCTTCTGGTGGTGCAGAGGGTGTTATAGATTCGTTGAGTTTTAATTCTGCTAAATAATTTTCAACTGCAAGTCTTATAGCAATACGATCGTTTTCAGAATGTATTCCAATCTAAAATATTAAATATATAATTAATATTTTATATAATATATAATAGAAGTAAAAATTTTTAAATATTTTACATACAGTTTTCAATTGTTCATCATTAAGATTTGGAAGTAATGATGGTAAAGAAGCTAGGAATGGCAAACAATGCAATGCACCTGCTATTGCAACATGTCGTACTAACATTGGTTCTAGCATTTCTAATAAACCCTGAGGTCGTGTTTCCATTAAAGATTGATATTGCATTAACCAAAATTGACTTTTTCTTCTAGAATTCTTTAAAAATAAATTTTTGTAAAATTATTATAAAAAAATCAAAACAATATTTAAATTTATACTTACAGTAATACAACGTTGTTGCTCTATATTATTAATTGTTTTTAGAAGTTGATCTCTTCTATTTTTCTGTTGTTCTAATAAATTCATTAGAATAGCACTCAAAGCTACTCTTTTCTGAGCTATTTCATTCTATTTAATATAAAATAATAAAAAAATCTTAATACAGAAAGTTAAGAATGTATATAAATAAATAGCTAGAAATATTACATACAAGTTGTTGATTGATTTCTAATTTTCTCCTCTCTAGTTCAATATTTGTAAGAGCAGCTAATTGCGATTGTACCAAATTGACTTGTTGCATAATACTCCAATAACGTGCATCACTACGTTCTAGCAATGTTGCAACAGCAGCTTTTTGTAAGACTTCATCTTGTCTTAATGTATCAATTAAATTTTTTCTATTTTTTTCTTGATCTTGCATTATTTGTGCTAAATGATCATTATTCCTTACTTCTCTGAAATATTTATTAAATATTAAATATATATATATTATATATAAATATATAAATATATTATATTTTTGTATAAAATATTATCACTATGTTACTAACAATGTGAGCAAAGATTGTGCTGCATAATCTCTATATTTACTATGTTCTTCCAATTTTTTGGTTCTATGAAGTTCTTCTTCAAGTAATTTTTCCATTGACACTATTAAAATCATATAAATAAATATAAAAAATTAATGTATAATTATATAATATAATATATATATATGTTATATATATAATTATACATATATTATATATATAATTATATATATATATATACACGATTATTGCTTTAGATATTTAATACTAACAAAGAGTATCTTTTGTACGAAACATGAATTGTTCTGTGTGACAAGAGGATAATAATTGTACTTCTTCCTGTTTTTCCTGTTCTAATAGTTCAGCTTGTGTTTGTCTTTCTTCCTCGCTATTTCTTAAAAATTCTTTGATAACTTTGTCTGCTTCTTTTTCAGCTAAAAAAATATTTATAAGTTAATATACTAGTTAAGTTAACAAAGAGTTTTAAAAAAATATTTAAAAATTTTTTTTAATTTAAATTTTATTTTTATTGATAATTATTATAACTTTATTATAATGTTTTAGTAATAAATATTTATATTTTATTATTAATTAAAATAAATATAATAATTAAAATATTTTAATTATACCATTATAAATGTAGGAAAGTAGACGTGCTCTGTTAGAATCTTTTTCTTGTTGTACCTTTTCTAATTCATGTTGTAATTGAGTTTGTTGCAAAACAAGATCTTCCAACAACTAGAAATAAAAGTATTTTAATGCTAGTAATTGCAATAAATTTTTTTATATGAAAATAAAAAGTGCTATTTGTAAAACAATAATTGCAATCTCCAAATACCTTTTTTTTATGTTCTTTTAACATTGATTGAATTTCGATTTCATATTCTTGTTGTTGTTTAATGTTTTTTTCAACCTCTAATAATGCATTTTGGCGATGTTCCTATAAGATAAAATTAATTATTTAAATTGCAAATTAATTTTTACTTACTAAAATATAAAAATATTTGTTTTAAAATAACATAAGCAAAATTAAGCATTTTTAAAAATATTATAGCAATATAAATATATAAATTAATTTTTGCTTTTAATAAACATATAATAAGTATTTTATGAATAAAAATTAAATCTCACAATAAACAATAGCAAATATGCAATGAAATATATTTGAAAGCATGCTAAAATAAAAGAAGCATCCACATGCCTTCATTTTTTCTAGCTTCTGTAATGCTGCCTAAAAGTAAAAATCAAAACATTTAAGACACACTGTAAAAGTGCAACATCAAAGTTCATAATCCTATAACACATGATACCTGTACATCATTATTTTTATTCTGATATATCCTTTCTACATTCTCAGAACTTATATTTCTTGATAAATCTGTTTCAGAAATAGAATCTTCGGGTGAATATTCAATACCACTTTCATTTGCTAGAAATGCTATAATTACTATTGTGCCACCATTTAAAATATCTTGAGGAGGATATAATAAATTTAACCCATCAATATTTAACTGTGCTAATTGTTGTACATAACCCAAAGATTTAGGAAGCTTACGAAGAGATTTATTTTGACTAATATCCAATATAGAAAGCTGTCTTAAATTTCCCATTGCCTCTGGCAATTGCTTTAAATTGTTTTTTGCAACATTTAAAATATTTAATTTGTTTAAATGTACTATTTCATTTGGCAGTTTTCGTATATTGTTGTCTTGTAAATAAAGTTCCTAAAATATATAATGTGATTAAAAAAATGTGCTAATTGTTGTACATATTTCTTTTTTCAAATTTCAAATAGATTTAATTTATATAACATATACCTTGAGAGAAGCAAGACACATTATATCAGATGGTAAATGAGTAAATTCATTTCCATGAATATCTAATATAACAAGTAATGACAAATCGCTTAAGGCACCTCCACCAGAAAGTGAAGTTAACTTATTATTATACATCCATAATATCTTTTTTCTAAATACTTTACACAATGAATAAATACCAGAGGGTACATGTTTTAAAGCACATTCAGAGACATCAAATATTGGTTCTGGATTTTCTCTGGCCTATAATATAAATGATTATGATTTTCATATATTTAACTATTAATAATATTTTTATATATTTTTAACACTGAACTTTTTTTTTAATCAATAAAATGATTAAATCAATATTGAATAAAAAAAATATTAATATTTGATTTTTTCACTCATATATATCATTATATACATATGTAGAATAATAAAATATCATATGAAAATTATATATATATATAAACATATATATATATATATATATATATATATATATATATATATAT